TTTTGGAGGATGGCCTGTTTTATTAATTTTTACATTTTTATTTAGGATAGAGATCAGCTATGGTGTCATTTAACATTAGTTGACTACAGTTAATTATGGCTCGGTGGAGGGCTGAGGCAAGGCAGCAGGCTAGGAAAGGCGTAAGCCTGGCTTATGCCCCAGTGTTGGTCTTGTTGTTTTGCATCTTGTTTTTATAACCTTTTTTCTTGAAAAGATCTAGTGAGGTTTCCAGCAAAAGAAATCGAAAAGGAATTTATAATTACCTCTTAACTTTAGTTGTTAAACATCTAGAAGATTGATAACCGTGCAGTACAATATAGGCAGTAAGCTTAATATAGAACAGTAAATGGCTATCAACAATGAGCATTTTAACATTTGAACACCGAAGAAATTTGTGAAACATCTCTAAGCATATGTCTGATCTGAAAGAAAACATTTGATATGGCTGGAACACAAGAAAGAGGCAGCAGAAACAATCAAATTTTATATGTGAAAGCATGAATACACCATCAGATCAGCAACAATGAATTGTCTCAGTCATATGAACTTTAGTTGAGGTATCTCACATAAGGCTATGGAGATTCTTGAAGGCTTTAATTGATAAAGAAGGCTGGTAAAATTACCAGGTGGCCACTTCCACATTTATCAGTCAAAGTCTTGTCTATGGTCTTTTTATCCCGGTTTATTTAATTCAAATAAACCTTGATTAAATGATTTGAGAATATAAAAAGAGGCTGGTGTGGATCAAGAAATAGCATCTCTGAGCCACCAAGCTGCCAGTGTTCTGTGTTTGTGCTCAGAGTGGCACTTGTGCTTGGGGGTGGGGGCTGGGACTGCTCAGGAGAGGCATGCAGGGCACAGCTTGCAGGGCAGGGGTGGAACAAGGAGGGTGGGTGGAGCGCCCAGGGTGGGGGCAAAGCCCGCAGGGCAGGTGGGGTGGGGGGGATGTACGCAGAAAGAAGGTGCGGCGTGGCAAGGAACAGCAGGGACAAGGCAAGGGGAGCTGGGGCCAAGCATGGACCTGGGACTGGGAGGGCGCAGGGTGGGCGGAGCACCCAGGGTGGGGGGCAGTGAATGCAGAGTGCTGCGGTGGGGCACGGGGGAAGGCGGAGTGCACAGGGCACGGGTCGCTGGGCTACAGTGTCCCATGTGGGGCAAAAACTTTTCAGAGGATCATTCCTGTGAACCCAAAATTGTTTGTTTTTGCTGACAAATTTATTTTTTAGTAGATAATAATTCAATTCATTAAAACAGATTTCGTACTATGTAATGCACCATTGCTTTGTCAGCTCAATACACAATCCTCTTCACATAGATTTTGCCCATACAATAATAAAGGGCAACTATGATGCAAAACTTAGACCAAAAGAGCTCCATCTTTATCTTGCCTATGCAATTCGCAGAGCTTGGGAGTGAGAGATTGCAATGGGAAAGGAATGGAACAGAATGGAGTAGAATGGAATGGAATGGAACGGAATGGAATGGAATGGAATGCAATGGAATGGAAGGTTTCACAAAGTTGCTTTCACTCATATCTTTAAGCATTTACCGAAATAATAAATGAGAGCTAGAGATGAAAAAGAGGAGGCAAAAGGAGAAGGAAAGGTAAAAATGGTATGTTAGAGCTTCCTCTGATCTTTCTGTGAAGTGTAAAAAGTATAAGACCATGATTTTGGCTGTATCCACTTACAGATCTGTCTCCTCACTAGTATATGTGTTTGCTAAAGGTACCTCTCTGTCTTTAGCCTTGTTTGTGTTCATATTTATATATAGTAACTATTTATATAGTACTTTAAAGGAAAACCTAATAGTAATTTAGTGCCTACCATATATGAGACATGTTGCTAAGAATTTTTATATGACTTCACTCATATAACACTGATGATGTATATGCAAAGTGCTTTAGCATAGTGTTCGGTTCATGGTAAAAACTAAAAAAATATTAGTTAGAAAGCAACCACTATTGTTTATACTAACATAATGCAAAATTAGATATTATAATTGCCATTTTATTCCTGAAAAAAAGAGGCTGGTGAAAGTAAATTCACGTGGACCAAATTATGTAACTTGTGTATTTGAGCTACAGTTGTCTCCATCTTTCTTTGATTTCAAAATAGATGATCTTCCTGATCTTTGTTCTCAGCCTAGGAGGGGAAAAAAGAAATGGATTAGAATTATGTTTCAAAAAAATGTTTATTTTTAATATGCCACTATATTTTTTTATATGTGTGTGTTTGAGAACTTCCTGTGGAGTGGAGGCCAAATATACATTTCAAAAGCAACTAGTCAGGCAAAACCAGTTAAATTTCCATATTTCTAAAAACCATTTACATAGTTCTGCTTACAGGACTTTTAAAAGGCTTACAAATAAATAATTTTACTTCATTATATTTTACTACATAAAATGTTTTTAATCATTTTCCCAATCCTTCGTCAAATGTACTTTTTGTCTGTCTTAATATGAAATTCAACAATATAAGGAGATTTCAGAGCACTAATGATTTTCCAATGCCATCAAAATAGTGTAAAAAGAATCTTTTTCTCAAATTTAATCTATTTTGGCACTGAATACATATAGTTTGATCAATAATGATAATATCACGTTTTGAAATTAAGTTTATTAAGTATACAAAAATGGTCAAAAGAATATTATCATGCATGTGAAAGTACTCGTGGTAGTTAGAGGAAATGAAAACAGTGAAAAAAAGAGAAGATTTCTGATGATCACCTTCCTATTTATCCCCCTTTGCAACTTCCTCTAAGCCCACCTGCGTTCCACCATACTCATCCTCCAAATGAGAACTCTTCTAATGATCTCTTTCAGAACTGTAACCAACTGTGCAATATGGCTAATACAAAATGAGTGCTTCAAAACCATTGCAAGTTGACCTTATTTCAGAAGAGTGGAAAGATACTAAGTATAATACTGAGTAGAGAACTGTCTTCTTATAATTAAAATAGAATGAAAATATTATTTTCCATGTTTGAATATTGTGTTGTTCCAATTACCAATAAACAACAACAACACATCACAAACAACAAAAATACTTCAAATAAAATTCACATTAACCTAGGTCTGTTTCTCTAATTCTTCTCATGGTTGGTGAGGGAGAATTTCCCACTATTATTATCCTGCTGGATTGTCATTGTTTTCCTCCTCTGGCTCCTCTTCAGTCTCTTCCATTTGGGACACCCTCTCTTATCCCTCTCCCTATCCCTATTTTGAAAACAAAACAATATAAAAGTGAAAGTAATATTAATATTTAATAAGGCTCTTATAACAAACAGCAGCTGACAATTATAAAAGTCTTTTGAGTTCACACATATTTAAACCTCACAAAAATCATATATAAAGGTTTATTTTATAACATTTAGATATACTTTCTTGTCTACAATAATTCTCATCCCCACTAACTTCCTGTTGTATGAATGAATAAACGAAAACACTGCAAGTTGTAAATTTACAGATTTGAGTTGGTAGATCATGAACAAATATGTTTCTAGATACTTCTTGTGGAAGGGACATTAACTGGTTTTCTATTGCTTTGTGGGGAAAATCTACAAAGAACTTCATAAGAAGTTTCAACCAGCCACTTGAAATCTAAATAATCAATTTGGAAAACCAGACCATCTAAACAAATCTCTCTTTTTTCTACCTTCATGGCCTTTTCCTGTGTTTCACTGAATGTCTCAATTTCTAAAAAGTATCTTTTCTCTGAATATTTTGTGCAGCAATAAGTTATCTTTTGACCAACTGTTCAAATGATATATTTTAATAAGTTCCTACTGTGGTCATGTCAGATGTCTTCTTGAAAGGATGAGGTCATGAGAAAGAAGTTTAATTGGATCACAAAACTGCACATTTTTCTGGGTAAAAGGTAAAGGATATGAAAATGAGTTCATTATGCTACAAGAAAGAAAGTAACCTTTGGGTACAGAACTACCATTTTTAATCATTAAGGACAGACTTTACTATTAGAGATATATTCATAATAGTGACTTCCCTTTAATTAGGAATTTCATCCATGCCCCAGCAAGTGCTACGAACTCATTAGGATATGTTAAGTTAGTGTATGGCATGGCAGGTGATGAAAAGTGTAAGAGGAAATTAAAGAATAAATTGAGCTTAGGGTATTAAAATACATAAGTGACACTCGATCGGCAGTGAATTTGACACACCGTTATATTAGAAGAAGCAAAAGAAGAGAAAATGAAATTTTCCTCTTAGGAATGATTTCTTTAAAGTCTTGAATATTTTAATTGCATACATCAAAACAGAAACATTTGATTAGAACTCGATGGGAAATAGGGATTCAAATTTAGGGAGTAGCTCTTATTAAAAAAAATTTACATTCTCAGTATTAAAATTAAGCTAAAAAATTATACTATTAAAATCACACTTGACTCCCAAATACAGAAAAAGTCTATTCGCTGTTGATTCATTTTGTTGGTACTGGCAGAACACGCATGAGTCTAAGGAGGATAGAATTCAGAAGAGGAACAAAGGGGATCAGCACTGCTCCATTTTAAACAGCGAGCTCAGGAGGAAGGTATGCTGAGTCGATTACAGATAATCAGATTGCCTTCAGGGTACAGCAAATTGAGAAATAGCTATTGAATAAAAAGCCACCAATTATGTCCTTCATTTTATTTATGTTAAAACAGGCATTCATTCAGTGTTAATTTTTTAATATAGAAATCCCCATTGGTATCTTGTGTGTCTACTTATTGAGCACTTTCTTTGTTTCTTTTTCTTCCTTTTTAAAAACAAATCTTATAGAGTATCAGAGATCATAACTAATGCTACAGACAGTGGCAGTGCTCTATCTACTATATATATTCCTAGGACTATTGCATTTAAAGGAGTCAAGGAATAGTGAATAATTTATATGATACAGATTACTAAAACCAAGCCAAAATGAGCATTGAGAGCAGAACTGGGCCACTAAGTAGTGTCTAGTATCTGAAATGGTGCCTAGATTCCCATTCAGATAAGCAGTATGATTTTAGGACTCCAGGAGGATCAAAACCCTCTAGCAGAGTTCAAGACTCTAGGGGCTACAACATGGGATGCCACTGACTGGTCAGTATTTAGTTTTCAAACAAGGAAGGGGTTGGAGTGGACAAGCAGGAAACTGAACAGACCTTGGTAGTGGTTTAAGGACTTTTCCAAATAATAGGTTACATTTAATTTAGGAGAATTACCTTGTGTTGGTTTAGAAGAAGATGATCTCCCCATTACATTTCACTACAGGAGTGAAAGGCCTGCAGCTCTCTATTTGGTTCATTGGAGTTGGGGCCAGGTATCCTCAGCAGTGACCTTATCTTGTCCTTTGAGGCATTCCTTTGTTCTTGGGTCAGCCATGCACCAGCCATGCCCAGCCCTGCACCTGCATTCAATTTCCAGTTTCAAGGACTCCCAACAGTCTAGTAGATGATGTGTCCAACCTACTGCATAAATCATCGACATTAGGTCATGGAATGAGAGATATTTGAGTCTCCCTTCTCAAGTAAAGTTATTTTTATTTCAGTCTCCTTCTTTGGAATTTTTGATTTTTGTTTTTGGGTAGCTCCAGTGTTGAAAATAATTTTACATTTTATAGTATTTCTGAACTTGTATGACAACACTGTAATTCTGGTTACTGATTCTGAATTATTCACATATGCTAAATGTCCCAATAGCACCCTTTAAAATTCTTTTATTAATACATGTTTTTTTTTCTTTTTCTAATGCATGTTTTCTTTCATGCATTCGTAATCATCTTGGAGAGTGGTACATGTACATATCATCACTTGTTGATTGTTTTTAAAATCCTTTTCCTTTTCCTTCCCTCCCCCCACCTCCTTCTATTTCCCTATCTTTTTTGCTTTATTGTTGATATTATTAGATTATGATACAGCATAGAAGGTTTATATTTATGGAGGTTTTTAGGTTCCTCTTTATGGCATATCCTTTTTGCACTTACATCTCCTTCCCCTCTTCCATGTCCCAAGAACATATTCCCTTAGGTCACTCCCTTTTGCAGTAGATCCATCTCCTTACCCTATGCTACCCATTCTTTATTATTCTCTGGTTGGTTGTTTCTGTTTCTTAAAACTATGTCAAATCAGCAGTAAATATTTCTTAGAAGCTTAAGAATGACTCTGAGCATAGAATATTTATACCTATTAGTCAATTGTGAAAATCAGGAAAATTTCAAGTTATCAAATAAGGAAGTTCAAATTGGTATGAAAACGTGCTAAAATCCTTCCAAAGATGTATCCTTCAAAAAGTTCTGCATTCACAGACGTTTGCAATAGTAGTCATGATTTTACACCACTTATTTACCATGCACTGTAGCAAGTACTTGATTAGTTTCTCACAGGAATGCAATGTCATTATATATAATATTAATTATTTTATAACTGAAGAAATTGAGACTTCCACAGGTTAAATAACTTTCCCAAACTGGAAAATTAGTAGAAAAACTACTTAAAAGGAAGAGTTACAAAAGAATTTGAATTCAAGTCTAACTATAGGAACAATCTTTTAAGAGTTACCTAATCCACTGAAAGTATTAATTTTTACTTTGAAAACACTGAAACATAGTAAGTACTGCTATATCATATTGGAAATAAACATTGAAAACTAACTTCTGGAGAGTCTTGCTACACAGGTGCACCAGAGGTTTCTTTTTTCAATATTTGCCATGAATTTCATATGGTTAGACAATCCTTCCATGGGATGGAAAGAAAAAATAACGTTCCTTGTTTTCATTTTTAGGCTGCAGGTTGTATAGCTTTTATGTTTTCAGAGAGCTCTTTTCCCTCCTCACTACAAGATTTTATTATCTGTCCTGTGATCTTAGTTTGTGTTCATTTAAGGAATAATGGAATAACCAAGAACTGAGTGCCAAAGCAGCCCAGAGCTTCTGAACCACTGTTCATCAGCATCTTCGGTTACAAGTTTTCTTTCCCCTTGGATTTATAAACAGCAGTTGCCTACAAACATTATGCGGAAGATCTAGTCTACCTAGTTTGAGGAGCAGAGTTCAGATCCACAGACTAGCTGTATTATTCAAAGGCATAACCACAGGCCTCTGCAAACTGAGTACTTTTCCATTGTGGGAACCAGAGTGTCCTTTGCTAAGTCCTACCCAGATTGATTTCATCTAAACCACGTATATCACAGGTAGTCCAGAGGATATAGGAACCTGGCTTGGGCAAAGATCACACATGAGGCAGAACCTCATTATTTTGTGACATTATTGTACAAACCATGTAATACAGTGGCTGTGCCCCTTACTGTTAAGCTATTTCTAAGTAGACATTTGAAACAATAGCCTTTCATCAGATATAGTTTGTTGCAATCATTCCTGGAGGTAGGGAAATTGATGATGGAAGTGATAGGTTCACAGATGTCCTACCTTATAACATACTACCAGCATTTGTAAGCACCCTTCCAAAACAAGTCTATGTGTGTTCTTCAATGTGAGCAAGCATCTCTATGAACTTTGCTGTTGGGAAGCTGAACATAGAAGCAGAAAGCACAGGAGAAATATTCCCATATGTATAAAAATAACCACTGAACTTCCAATTGCTAATTAAAAATTTTTACTGAGGTCTTTCAATGTCTCCAGATTTAAAGAATTTCTCTTGTTAGCTGCGCTCTGGAGAATAGCCCTCTTTTTCCTTTTCTATTTTCAAATTCCAATAGCTTTTGATGTTCTTGACGGGGTGCCTTGATGATAATGTTCTGAATTTATAGTACCTTTCAAGTGTCAGTACTTTACAAATGATATGAGTCCTTGGCACACTCACCAAAGACCATGCTATCTCTCTAAAGCTGCTGGAGATCTAAATAGGTAGGAGGCAGCTTGAAATTGACCTGAGAGGCCAAGGATATGATCTCATTTCTACTGAAAAACACCCTGGGAGTACCAAGAACCTGAAGAGGTTGAGAGTGTTAGCTGAACATTCTTTTTAAAAAGCTACCTGTAGCTCTCTAGGGCCCTCCTGGGGCAATGTTCTTTGTTCAGACAAAGGCAAAGAATTCATTAATTCAATCTCTCCTCTTCTCACCTGGGACTGTATCACAGTACCTTTCCAGAGTTTAGACCTTCTTTAGCTATGAAATCTGACCTAGTCAGAGTACAAGAAAACTTTGCTCCAGGCAGAAGTTGTAATACATCTGGGTTATATGCCTTTCTACAATCTCTTTTCAAACACACAAAGTGTTATTCTTTCTTTCTCTCTTTTTCTCTCCCTCTCTTATTTGAAATTTGTTTTCACATATAAAATGCAAAAAATTTTAATGAGACAAATGAACCTATTTTTATATATCTGTGTTTCCTAATTATATATAATTTTTATTCACCAAGTTACCCTGCAAAGTTCAAATTACACAGAGGAAACAGAAACTGCATATGAAAACTCACTCTCTTGAACTTTTAACATCATTTTTTCTCCATTTTAATTGTAAAGGCAGGGGTTTCAAAACTCTTTAGGTACAGCCGAATTCTACAAAAATATTTTTATGATTTTATAGTAACCAAATCTCTTAAATAATTTCAAATGAAAATATGCTAATATACAGATTTTATGATCATCTGTAACATATTTTCACAGCTCTGATGAAACCCTCAGTAAAGTCAACTTAAATTACCTCACTGAAAGTGGACTTCCTCTACTGCATTTATGTTGCCTTTGCAGAAGGCAGTAATTGAAACTTTATACTTTTAAAATTGAAGATGCATATGCATGTGTTTATGGATAATTATGTGCATATGTATACACATGTGATCAGTGAGTTGAGTTAATAGACTCATTTTTCAATTTGTCTTTCCTCCTCCAACCCTAGTAAACCTCACTGGAGCAGTAATTTCCAGGCATATATTCCCATCCTTATAGCTCTGAATTGGTTTCACTGTGCTCCTATTTTAAACTCAGTATTTAGTTTGTTTGAAAATCAATAACCACTTTTCAGAATTGGATTTGCCAGTCAGGTAATAGGTTAAATCAAGAAGCCCTTAAAGAATCCTCTGAAATGTCTTTAAGTAGTTGCTAAACAATAGGCAGCAGGAGTATATGAAAAGTGACAAATGCCAAAGAAAAAACCTAAAAGTGAACATTGGTCAGAATGACAAGAGTTAATTTTGGCTTCCTTCTTATTTTATTTTTTTATGTATCCTTTGCATCTACTACAATGTGTGGGACTTAATAGCTCCTCAATGACTGTATTGGACTGACAAATAAATATTAAGCACTTATTTTGTTAATTCGAACTAAATTCTTTGAACTCAGCTTTAAACAGAATAGCAATGTATGGGTATCCACTACAATTGTATCCCTTAACCACTCCTTACATACTAATTAAACAAATTCTACTAAATAAATTATCTCTCCCTGATGTAAACATGCTGACCCAAAGTTGGCCAAATTTTCCATATTTTCTTGACCTCATCAGATCTATTGCTAGCATCCTGAGAAATCTTGTACAACTGTATTTTGATCTAAAAATTTTCAGTAAGATATTAAAATGAATTCACTCATGATTTTATATATTAAGCACTTACAGTGAGATAACTAAAAACTAACATTAGTACGCTAAAATATGTAGCATTAGTATAAAGTTTTACAAATGTAATGAAAGTGGTCATTTCTAAAATGAAACTGTCAATTAATAGAAAGTTATATACTGATGGTCTGTGAACAACAGCCTAACAGTTATATACATCTGTTCAGTATTTATTTTTAAGTCACAGATGCTACAATTGCTTAGTTCACTTCCAGAGTTTAGCCTTTATTTTTCTCTCTTAAACAAGAAGTCACATATTTGAACCCTTATGTTAGAAGGACTCTGCTCCTTTCCACTGACTAGGGACAGATTTATGGCCTTGCACCTAGCAGTTTACAAGGTGTGAGGCTGCCATTTTGCTTTTGGTGCTAATTCTCACAAGAACTCATATTTAAGTAAATATGATCATTATCAGGAGGTTATGTGTTCGGCTGGTGATTAGCCAGGATTTACAGCAAAGCCATTTGCTTCTCACCACAGAGCTCCTCCCCAGCAAAGTCTGAAGCTACCTTTTTCTCCTGAAAGTTTTTCTTGAAAGCTTCCTGAAGAACTCTTCAGTATCCTTCCTTTATTTCTCCCTTGCCTCAGTTGTTTCTTTTCACGGGGCCTTCGTTCTAACCAAATCTCGGTGTTGGGTCAAAACAATAAACATAAAACTGAATTGGAAGAACCAGGATATTCTGTGTTGGAACTGACCATGGACACTGTCATACATGTAAATTTATATAATTTGTAAATTATCTATTTATTTATTCATACTTTAGAATTAGTATTTATTTATACTTTAGAATTTATTATACTTTATAATTTATTTATACCACATGAATTATATGGAATCAATCTTCTATTTTTTAATCATAACAGTTTACTCTTATTCAGTACTTTTCATGAGTTAAACAGATCAGACTGAATTTAATACACACTATTGCTTGTAGTTATTAAAATAACTTTATGAAATATACATTAGAGATTATTTTACAGAAAAAGAAATGGAAGATTAAATTTAGAAATCTAATAATATTAGAATAAAGATTAGAATCTAATACAGTTGATTTGTAATTCCCAGACTCTCATCTCATTATTACATTGTGTACTTTGTTCTTCTTTAATTTCCTATGAGTCTGTGACAGGGTTTTATTTCACTTTTGTGTGTGCAGGTGTGTCTACGTGACTAGCTGGTTGCATCAGTCTTCCCTGTACCACATTCTTTCCCAATCCCAGTGAGTTTCCCATCATTCTCTTTCTCAGAAAAACCACACTTCCCCATGATTCAAATTCACGTACACTTGTAACTCCTAGTGCAACTACCTCAAACCTGATCTCTCTTCATACCCAATCAGTGCCTACACACTCTGGTTCTGTCTGAATGAGAGCCACAGTAAAGTGGTAAATTGTCTTTAATAACTGCTAATCATTCTGCTAAACTCACATAGAGGCTAAGTTTCATGTAAAAGAAATCCATCTGACACTGCTTTTCTCCCAAAAGTATACGAAGCCAAGGCTTTATGTGGAACTGTGAACTTTGAGTCTGACTGTCAAGGAGATACTTTCTGTATTAGTTCATTTTGCTAAACTCTAGCATAACAGAACACACAGATGTATTCTGAATGGTTTAGTGCTACAGTCTTTAGAGGAAAAATTTCTTCCAACTCTGTTTATCAAAATTAAATTTCTATTTTTAGAGCTCTCTTTGCTCAATTTCTTATGTTTGCTTGTATTTTACAGGAGGGTGCATGCCCTGTAACATTTTCATAGCACATTGAAATGCATGTAGATTCTAATGAAACTAAGCGGGCAAAAAAATCTTAAAAGCATTGACATAATGCCTGATTACTTTGCTTTTTCCTTAAAATATAAAAAAAATTAAATTCGCCATTCCACTTCAAATGCAAACTAATATAAAGCAGCTGTTCATACTGCCAGCGCAATGAACATAGTTGTAACTACTGTCTAGCTTATCACTGCAGTGAGCATCTAATTCATTTTGGACTCTAGTTCCCCTCCCCATAATTTTCTAGTAGGGTTTATTATTTAAAATTTTTAGAACATGTAAGAATTCCATAGGAGTGTTATATATTATCAATCTAGTTTCTCTAATTGTTTACATGCTCTCTCATTTTCATCCCATTTTTTTTTCTGAGTCATTTGAACATAAATTGAAGGCCTTGTTGGTGCTAAGCACTCTAATCTTTAATTCCTAAAACCAAGACAATTCACTTGTATAAGTCTAGTAGAATTATATAAACAGAAGATTTAGCACTTATGTGATACTACTATAATCTAACTTCTAAATTAAAATTTGATCAATTGTACTATAAATAGATTATTTTCTAATCTTGCATTCAATTCAGAGTTCTGCATAATGTTCTTATTTATTTTATTCATTTAACATGAAAAAGAATTTCAGTCTATTTTTTGCTTTCTAGATCTTAATATTTTTAATGCTTAAAAAGCTGACTTTTAAACATTTTTAAAAATAATTGTAATTGAACTGTAGTTTGCTCATAATAGCCAAAATAAATGATGTAAGTCTGATGTATTTTTGTTGGTCACTACTATAGGGAGTCATTGAAGCTGGAGATTGATCACATATGTGGGGTTAAAGCAAGCCCAGCTCTGAAAACACAGAGAGCCCATAACAAGCCACATAAATAAGCTGTCCAGCTCCAAGAAGGCAAAAGGCCCAAGCCAGCCAGGCAAACAAGTTGCTAGGCCACAGGGTTGTGACATTACCCTCCTGAGTGTATAAATAAATGTGCTGCAATGGTTGAGCAGTTCCTTCTCTCCAATCAGGAGAGAGGACTCCACCTGATGCCTGCTTTCATCTCTATTCTTTATTTTCTCATCCTGTCAGTGTCCTTCTCCACAGAAAAATCTAGAACTGGAGCTGGTTGCTACGCACATCGATAGTTCTTTAAACTGTACACCCTATCATGCTATAACCTCATATGACTGAGTCTTTTCAATAATTGCAGTGTCTTTGCTGTCTTTAGCAACAAGGAATCAGATGTTTAGTGTTTTAACACTACTAGGTGCTAGCCCTAAATTTTTTTGTTTCATTTTTGCTCACTGGATCTTTTATAGGGTTTAAATTTTTATCTACATGATAAAATTCACAATTTTAAGTGGGCAGTTGATAACACTTGAAAATGTGTATTGTCATTCACCCATCACCCCAGTCATGCCATGGTATTTCTGTCATCCTTAGAAGTCCCCTCTGCCATTTTGCAGTCAGCTCCTCCCACTTTTCCTTTATCTTTTCCTTTGTTTTGGAAATTATTATTAGTGATCACCTTAAATACCTTATTGTTGTCAACACATGGACAAGATCAGGATTTGTTTCTTTTGAATGCTTTTTTTTTTTTTTTTTTTTTTTTTTTGGTCAGCTTCAAATCAAATAGTCTTACTGCTTCTTCATCTATTAGTTTTTTAGCATGTGTTGACATAAATGGACTGTGTACCACTTCAAGTGGCATTTACTTAGTTTGGTTTGAGTTCTGGTATGCATCTACATTTTTGATGTATATATTTGATCTAGTCACTATTTGATTTTTTTTATTAGAAAAAGTCTACTTTTGTTTTAAACTTGGCCTCTTGCCATATTTATATTCCTCTCTTTTGAATATGGTCCTTACTATGCCTAAGATATGGCTTTGTAGGAACTCATTTGAACTGAAAAACTACTTGACTGAGTCTCTCCATTTTGGTTAACTGGAACCCACAAGTCTCCCAGTACCCATATCAGCACTTACCTTTGAGCTGTAAATTACATGACCTTTCTTAGATTTCACAGTCTCTGTGCCAAAGCTGCCCAACACAAAGGACTGTTGTCAATCTCCATGGAGATGTCGGGAGTCCTCTCTATGAAACTTTTCCTTCTCAGTTACCCCTGAACTGCAAATCATAACCATTTCATATTATCAGAATTACAATCTTCACACTTAGCCCAGTGAGACTGCCCTTTCTTTCATCTTTTGCTGTGTCAGGAGAGTATTCAGGTGGAAACTCAAGGCAATTATGGTTTACTGTGGAACCCACATTGTATCTTTCCCAAAGATCACAGCTCTTTTTTTTTCATGTGCTTTAGTGCCTACAAATACTTGCACCTTATTCTTAGTTCCATTTTGTAGTTCACTTGCCAGTCAAATAGTCCATGCAAGACTTTCTGTTATGCCAATGTATATTTTACATTGCTTCTAAAATGATCTATGTTAGGACAAAAATCCGTTTTGTCTGTATTATGTGAATTGTTTGTTTAAAACATTCTATTTACCCATTGCTGCTATATCAAAATCCAAATTCTTAATAAGAAATTCAAAATCTCTTAATGCATAATTTTACTGAAAACACTTCTCAAACTCTTATTTTCTGGAATTTTCCTTCCCTAATAGTTCTCAATTTAATGTATATGAGAATTGGGTGGTGATATTTAAAATAGATTATTTTCTCTCTTGTCAGTGTAATTTGGCACATGTATGGTATGCTGGAAATCTAAATTTTTAACAAAGAATTTAGGCAAATTTGATGCAAGCAATTTAAAACTACATACTATGGATCAATGTTCAGGTCTTACAACCCATATCAGGATTAGAGAATTAATTTAAACATATCTGTTGGCAGGAGATAGATGTCCCTGATCAAACAGAAGCAAATCCATACTCCCACAGCAAAGGGATAAGGTTGCCTGCAGAGGGAAAGGTGATGCCCTCACACTTTATACCAATGCAAATGCCAAGCCCTTCCAGAAACAGCCTCACAGGCACAGCCAGGAATCCGAGTATCTCCTAGTTCCGTCAAGTTGACATATGAAGTCAACCAGCAAAAGCAAAATGTACTTGTTAAAAAAAATCTAGTTTAATTTGAGTGTTTTTAGGCTACAGTTTTAAGAGTAGTTTTAGATTCATTATTTAAGCCAAGCAGTTTTACACTTCTCTGTTTTTGTAATGTCTTTGGCTAAAATAGTTTCTTTTCTTTTTCTTATACAAAATTATTACTTATTTGAAGCCAAAGTAAATTGAAACGTCTTAAGCCTTCTTGAATTTCCAAAAATATTTTATCATGCTCAATTTTGGTTTTCAAAAACTGCAAGTTTACTTTATCTTTTATTATAATACTTTTATTTGTTTATTTGCATATTTTACATGCTGCTCTGTGAACTTTGAATATTGTACTTTTCTTAATTTTTCAGTTGCAGAACCTATAATGATCAATGAGCACTATTAGAAATTAAATAAGTTGCATGTATACCTTCAAATACTTGAAATTTATTAACATGTATTCATAAGACTGTCAACTTAGAAACTAAAGTATTCATATTCAAATTTTAATTCTGAGACTTAT